AGCTTCCCGGCTCACCCAAGAGCATCTCCCACAGCATCCCTGCTGTCCTCACACCTTCACTCTTCTTTATACACTACTCCAACACTCACAGACCTTCCCATCCTGCTCCCAAGACTAGAGAAGACCTTAGAACTGTGCTGTCTAGTGTGGGTTTTTTTTTACTTCATACTTGACCAGTGATAATTTTATTTTAAATGCCCTTTATTTGGACCCTATGGTCATTTAGCCTCTATTTCACTCGTGTCAGTGACAATACATTTATATTTCATTCATATATGCTGTCCTTGTGTACTGTGGGGGTCTCATGGCTAGACCTTCCCCTCCCCAGCCAGTCCCTGGAGCTGCAGCTGGGCTGGCGGGTGGACAGGCACTCTGGAAGGGAAGCTGAGGACCGGGCAGGATGGTGTGGGGTAAGGCTAAAGAGGAAAGAGCACAGTGGAGGGTGGGGAGAACAGCATCGGACTGACGTGGGCTTTAAGTTATTTGGAGTATGCCCAGGGTCCTTGCTGAAAGGCAGTCTCCGATAGCATTTTGATGGATGATGCTGCTGGCCCTGAGTCTCACGAGAAAAGCCGAAGCTGCCTGCAGTGGCAGTGGCTGGGCATGCAGGAACAGCCCCGCTGCCACCGCACACGGAGTACCGATTCACCTGCACGCAGCCATCCGGCCAGACGTCTCCCTCCAACAGCTGCCGACTGCAGATGGAGTTGCGGAGGAGGCATGGCAGGGCGCAGATGGGAAGGGCCATGGGATAGGCATGGAGCCAGGCTCGCTGCAAGGCTCAGCGTCTGGGCAGGGCCAGCCTGCTCCAGACAACAGTAGCCTGGATCGATGGGGACTCAAGCCACACTTGACATGGTGCCAGGGTTCAGGTGGCTCCATGGTATATGTATACATGGTATAAACATAACCTCTGGGACTTCTCAGGATGGGCATCAGTAAAGGTGATGAATAAGAGAAATGACTGCAAACTGGGCAGATTTGTGCAGTGGGTTTAGTGTCCTGACAAGAACAGTGAATAAAGAGCCTAAAGGATTGATTTAAATTGCATTCCACAAGACAGAAAAATGCTAAGATATAATAAGGAAGTAAAATACATACTTCATATAGTCTCCTTTTCCAAATAAAAATCGTTCATAAGTTTTACTTTTTACAACAATTTCACTTACTTAAATGTTGCCTTTGCCTTTTCTGAACAACTGACTTTTATACTGCTACCATTTTCCACTTTGTGATTTTGAGTTAAAACCACTTATAAAAGACCACTTTGAAAAGACAGAGGCAAAAACAAGTTAAGGGATTTAATAGCTAATCTGTGGTAGGTTGTACTGGACCTAAGGAAGAAATTCATTAACTGCTCAATGTGCATTTTTACAAATCCTACTCTTTTATCTGGCCAGCCTTATCTACTGCAGCACGGTAAGTGTACAATACAAATATTTGAATAATCATGACATAATTGCAATTCAGTTTGTCTATGAAATCCTCATGAAACCCCGAGGAAGGCAAGTGGTTTCAGTGAGCACAGAATATCCTTGTATTTCATTCACTTGCAAAGTAATTGGCACAACATACTTCATTCCAAACATATCCGCTGAAAGACATAAGTGAAAAGAATAAAGAGTGTAAATAGATGGATTTGTTTCACTAATGTACGAGGCATTTTAAAGGCAACTGTTCCATAGCAAGCCTTAATGTCAATGCAGATTTAATGAAGTCAGAATGCATTACACCGCTGAGGACTGCATTTGCAGATGCAAAGCAGCATAGTTCCACTGCCTGAGCTGGAGCTTTACCAGTCTATAACTTCTAGCCTTGAAAAATCCTATCAAATATTGTCAGTTGCTTCTCCTTTCTTCCTCTTCTGTTTCTTGGCAGCCTAAGACTATTTTCTCCTGATGTTTTTTTCCCCCAATATCTCTGTTCTTTTAGTAGATCTAATGATCCTCTTTGTCCTCTCCACTTCAGTCTCTTCAGCTTTCTCCAGAAACCATTTTTTCTTTGTTTCATAGAATCATAGAATAATCTGGGCTGGAAGGAACCTCTGACGGTCATCTAGGCCAACCTCCTGCTCAAAGCAGGACTAATTTCAAAGTTAGTTCAGGTTGCTCAGGGCTTCCTTGTCCAGTTGAGTTTTGAGTATCTACAAGGATGGAGACTGCAGAACCTCTCTGTGTCCTTGTTCCAGTGCTCAACCCATTTGAATTTTGAATGCTCAACTCATTTGAACTTTTATTTTTAATATTTCGTTATGTATTTTTGCAGTTCTGCTCCTTTAAACAGCTTCCATAATTCTCCAACTTCGTTTCATCCTCATGTCTGTCTCCAACCTTCTACCTCTTAAAGTTGTAGCAAACATACTATTTCCATGCTTTCTGAATTTTCTGATGTATTTATACTTCTTCATAACAGAAATACACCCCTTCCTTTGATATACAAGGTCATATTTATTCCTCACAAGATTCAAACTGATGCCATATGGGTAGAGGTCAGGTTGAATGACCGCAGCTTATTGCCCAAAGCCATTCAGGTAACATGAATATGACTAGAACTGCCTAAAAAAAACCTCTCTTGTTCTCCTTTGCTCCTGCACAGCTAACCCATCTTGCATTTGAAAATCAGACTTGTGCCTAATACCTGTAGAGCTTCAGTGGTTTCTGAAAACATATTGGCTGCTAAGTGTAAAAAGGTGTTTGATTTGAATGCCTGATAGTGCTTGAATCACCAGATTCACGTTTGGAAGTTTACTTTTTGTTTAGGATGAAAACTTGAAAAAATAATTGAAAAAATTGGCTCAGTTGGCACTGGATTTTGAGCAGTAGTCCCATGGCACTGCCAGGAGCTACTGGAACAACACTGGCAACCTAAATAAATGTTGTTAATTTTAAATTGCTCTAAACAGTCAATCTTTAGACAGAGATAGACCTTCAATGTTTACTATAGAAGAGCTGGTGTTCCAGTCTAATGGTGAATACACGGAAAGTTAAGCACATTAAAATGAGATTTAAGGAAAGCGATCTTGTTGTTTTCAAAATAGTCACATTTTGAAGTAAACGTTGACTTTCCTAAGATCCTGGAAATACATATGTAAAGGCATACATAAATTGTTAAAAAATTTGCTTTGAAGTGGGCTACAATGAAGCTTCGTGCTTGAAGTGAGAATATTGAACTTTGTCTTCCCTGATGCTTAATGCTTCTGTTCGTTTTTAGAAAAAAATAATTTTGCAAATCATAAATAATGAAACATCACATCTTAATCAGTGGGTATTTGGTTACACTTAATGAAATAATGCCCATTTACTTCATCACTGACGACTTGCTGTGCTCTGACTACTATTTCAATGAGTGAGATTCAAAAATGTGGCAAATTCTCATTTGCTGGAGATGTGCAAAGGCATGTACAATAATTGCTCCTCTGAATTTAATTTTTTCCCACTATTCACACATTTTAAAACAGTCAGTAAAATCGAAGCATTCATCCTTAAACTTTGTTCTACTACTTTGTGAGCACCCCATGTGTTAGCTTTCTGCAATGGAACATCTCAGGGTATGAAATAAGACTTGTATCTTCATGCTTCTGTGATGGTGAGGATGGAGCTCTCTCCGCCAACCTCCTATTTTTTCCCACCACCCAATGCTCAGAACTGGAGTTTTGTTTACATTTCATGATCAGTCTTCTCCAGTGTAAGCAGTTTAAAAGAAATAGTTTGGAAGTCTTGCTTCATTGTTGGATTACTTTGATATTCGTGGTATTTGGAGACATAGGCTTTCTGTTTGTTCTCACTTTGCAGAAGTCTTCAGATTTCAAATATTTGTTTCTTGCCATATGACAGTGCTTATCAGTGACCCACATGGAGAAAACAGTTTGATAAGCATCTGAGAGCTGCCATCTTCACATTATTCAAGAAGACAACTCAGTACTCCCAACAAGACTCAAGATTATTCTCAAGATTCTGCTGGATACGAATATACTTTGGAACAATCCAGGCATCCCTTCTACAGTCCTGGACTCTGACAGGGGAAATCTGACTTTAGCACTGAAGGTTCTTCCAGTACTACTCACTTTCATTGAAAGCCTGATCAGCTCATTCCCTCACTTTAGGAGAAGAAAATGTGTCCTCCAACTTCATTTCTACCTTACAAGATTCCTAAAATAACAGGTGAGTCAGACCACAAAACAGGCTTAAGGCATAAACGGCACTTCAAGATCAAAGGCCATCCTTGATGACATTTTTGCCTTTGACAGAGCAGTCATTGACTCCTCTCGTACCCCAGTAAGAACAGAGGAAGAGGCTGGATGAGCTCAGTTCCACCTGTGCACTGACACCTCCAGCCATACAATAAGCAGGTTATCACTTCTGAAGTTCATGCTATCTTGGCCACCCGCGCACCGATGAACAAATGCACTGAACATAGTACTGGGTGAGGTTATAAGCAGCTGTGTTTAAACCCTTTATCTGATGTAGTTTTTGTTGAAGAAGACAAGAAAAGACTGAGACAAAGCACTTAATAAAGAGAAGACGAAAGGAATCTTTGAAAAAAAGTTGTAGGTGTGTACTTTGCATGTTTTCTGGAGAGCATTGGTGGCTGCATAGACAGATCTCACTGCCTGTATTGACAAGACCTCATCCAGCTTAGAAACCTGGCTCACCATAGGCATCTGCCTTATAGATATTTTCATTTAGGTGGATGATGCTAAAAGTGATTCCCCCATCTTTAACAGTGATTAGTCATCAACTAAATGGGTTCTCCAACTTGGAGAATTTTTAGTTCAAGGCTACATTCCCACCCCTGCCGCCCGAAGATGCAGGTTTAATCACAGCTGTAAGAACTAGATTTGAGGACCAAACAACTAAAAATTACATTTCATTAAAACAATTTCTAGAACTGCCTACTTTTCCTGGAAAGGAACCATTGCACTCGTACAGCAATTGCCAGAGTACGGCCTCCAGACAACCTGTTCTCAGAAAGGCTGATAATCCACAGGCTCCATCTAAGGGATGCAGGGCTCCCTGAATGCTGGTACAAGCAGTTTTATGAAGACTTTGCCCGGACAGAATAATCTAAGCAGGGGACCCGGTGCTAAAAGAAAACAAGTCCCGTCTGTCGACGCTGTGGTGTCAGACTCTGCCTTGAGATCGCCTTCCTTCGAAGCTGCCTGTGGAAACGTCTTCCCGCTGGCGCTGGTGTGAAGGGGAAGGTGATCGGTGGGGTGCGTCTGGGCGACACTGAACCTGAGGGGACAGCCCCGAGCTCCACGGCGCTGCCTCTGCCCTGCTCAGGGTGAATTCGGCACCGCCAGCCTTCGCGAAAGTCCTTTTTTCTTCCGAAATGCCACCTCTCTCGGGCTCTAGTGCCCGCTGCACCAGGCGACGCGGGGAGGGGGGGGCGGCA